TGGAAAGTGTCCCACCTCTTTCTCTCCTGGTGATCCACATAGAGGGTGGCAATCTACTACTGCTGTCTGTTACTCCATTAACCCGACTGACAGAGCTTGGTGTGATGGATCGAAAGGATCCAAGCCTGCTATTATGTATACCATCTCAATTCATCCCCAGAGCCGGTCCAACCCATAGAGGGAAGAAATGTGTGGAAAATTTTTTTATGTGACCATGTATTTGAAGACCATATCTTAAGGCATACTCACGGGTAGGAGGGGCGGGCAAACGAACATTGCACAAACAGCCTTAATTCTGGCATTTCCTCGCTTTTGAGAGCCTGACTTGGCAACTTCAATAATGTTGTATTAATATAGCAGGTTTTGTGTGAAATATATTTTTCATGAGATGAGTTTCTTAATGATATCATAAATAGTGAGGGAAGGGAAAAAACACTTATAGCAACCACACACCCTGCTTAGCTGTTCCCTTCGAGTGGGTTTTTATTCACTCTTATGCAAAATTCCCACTTACGCTGAAATTTAAGACTCCATTAAAGTATCACTTTCTTTTGTTACCATTATCATTTAATCCTACAATTCTTGAATATCTGCACTGATAGTTCTTTGATCATAGCATTCGGGGGTTGGCTCAGTGGTTTGAGCATTGGCCAGCTAACCCCAGGGTTATGAGCTCAGTCCTCAAGAGGGCCACTTAGGGATCTGGGGCAAATCTGTCAGGGATGGTACTTGGTCCTGCCATGAGGGCAGGGGACTGGACTCAATGACCTGAAGAGGTCCCTTCCAGTTCTATCAGATAGGTATATCTCCATTATTAGGGACAGGACTCAATGACCACTTGAGGTCCCTTCCAGTTCTAGTATTCTCTGATGTCATCTAGTCCACTGCCTGTTTGCTTTGGCTCTCAATAACTTTTTCTTGATATTTAGCTTGAATTTTCTTTCTGTAGCTTTAGACTCTTGTTCTTGGAAGCTTTGCCGAATGGCTGTTAATTTCACATGCCCTAAATCATCTCTGTCTATCTGCATTCACATGCACTGTGATTACTGTATAGTTTCTGTCAAGTAAAATACAAATCCTATAAAGAACCGCGGACATGCTTCTGGTCCTTACTGCATGTTAACAAGTCACTAATGTCCTGCCTGTGTCAAGAAATGACATAACATTAGAACACATGGTTACCTAACCTGGTCTCATTTCTAATGTAGACAAGTTCTGTGTTTGTTGAAGTGGGAGTTATTAGGAGAGATTTGGAATAGAAATTAATGCACGAGACGGGGAGCCAAGAATTTTTTATCTAATGCCAGGTCTGATACCAACTCTTCTTGTGGTTTTCGGCAAGTCATTTACACTCCAGTCCCGTAGTTATGTACGGACTTGAATTGTAAACATGCTAGTAGGCCTCTTAACATCGATGGCTATGTTCAAGTTCAGCATGCACTTATGCATTTGTAGAACTAGGCCCTCGCTCATTCTGCCTTGTTTTCCTCATCTGCAGAACAATGATGCGGGTATTGGGGAGGTTAATTCTTATTTCTAAAAGTGCTTTCCAGATCAGAAATGCTCTCTAAGAAGCCCTGTGTCAAGAAGGGAATCCATATAAAGAGTTATATGAACATTGCAATAGATGTGGGAACAAATATAAAGGTACAGTAGGTCACAGCTCAATCTTGACAAGTGTCCCCTTGAGGACATTAGTAGCTGTCGGTCCACATAAATTGGTGACATTGGGTTGGGTGTGTTATTTCAGAGAGAGGCCTCCCTTGCCTCTCTCTTTCCCGGGTTGCTAACTTTATTCGTTTTATCGATCCGTGTAAGCAAGGGACTCAACTGCTTTCCTTTGTGTTTCTCTCCATGTGCTTTTTGCTGGGGGAGTCCCACTGTAGCTCTGACAGCTGAGTGAATTTTCAGTTATTACCAGACGGAATGGGTCCCCATACAGATGCTGCCTTGCCTTGTATGTGTCATTTTAGACTGATGAAGTCAATGCAGTGTAAGCATTAGGGAACAAATGGTTTATATTTGAAAGAAATCATGCTGCTGAAATTGACAGGGGAGACTCTATCAATCCTGCTAAGCAAAGCTACCTCATCTAGAGAACTACGTGTGGAAGTAGAAAATATGGACAATTAAGGAAATCATATTGATCTGTTTGGAGGCATCGTAACTGCTTCGACATCTCTGATAAATGCTAAGTGCATTTGGAAATGTCAAAAATGCCTCCATTCAAAAAGTCCTTCCCCAGGAGAGGCAAGATGGTCCAGTGGCTAGAGCATTGTCTTGGGAGAATTAGGTTCAAATCCCTGCTCCACCACGGGCTTCCTTCCTTCCTCATCTGCAAAACAAAGTGAGAAAAACTGTCCTGTGTTGGTGTGGTGAGGGTAAATGCATGAGCCTGCAAGGTGCCGGGATACCACCATAATGGGAGCCATGACAGTACAGTAGATTGATAGGCTTTCCTTCTGAAAAAAATAAATCAATTAATTGAGACTACTATTTTTATCCTCCTCATCACTTCAGGTAATTAAAAAAACACACCTTTCACTTCAGTCATGTAGGATGTAAATCAAAGAAATCACCTTTGCCTTCAGTGTGTCACTTGATGGTTGTGAAAGGAGGAGGTTCCTGGAAGAAGTGCCGCCTTAGCCAAGATAATTATGTCGGTCAGATACAGCTACGTTGATAGAAGAGATGCTGAAATTTTTGAGGGAGATCAAGGGGGGAGGTGTAATTTGGAATAAGCCAGCATGCCTTCTACCTGCATGGGAATGAATGCATCCAATAATTTCTCCTGGAATAAAATAACACCACATAGCACATATAAGGATTTTTCTAAAAGATTAATCAGTGCTTTAAGAAAGGCACTGTGCCAAGTGGAAAGAACATTGGTCTAGTATCCGTGAGATCCGAGTTCTATGCCTGGTTCTCCCACAGGCCTGGCTGGGTGACTTTGGGCATGTCAGGTCACCTCTTTGTGTCTCACTTACCCTGTCTGTAAAATGGGGGCAGTGACACTAACCTCCTTTGTACAGTGCTTTGAGTTCTGTTGATAAAAAGAGCTATTTTAAAGGGAGGTGGTGGTATTATTTGAAATAAAGTGGAACATCATTACCCCTATTTTACAGAAAAGGCAACAGAGTCATGGGCTGGTAAACTTCTTTGCCCGAGTTCACATGCAGGTCATAATTTTCAAAGGTGACTGATATTTTGGGTTCCTCCATTTAAAGTGGATTCTCAGCAATGTTCTTTCTAAGCTTTTCCATCCACGTGCTGATTTTTTTTCCATTCACGTGAAGGATACATTCATGTGCACCGGGGCATTTGCAAATGTGCACTCGCTGCCAGTCGAAACCAGAAACCTAGCGGTGGGTGCGCTGCTAATCAGCTGCTAGGCCATATTTGAATCTCTCCTGAGCAGCCTCACCAGCACCCAGCTTACAGGGACCACAGATTTTCAGCCCTGTCTGAAGATCAGGAGCCTTTAAGGCAGGGCTACTCAACACGTGGCCCGCAGCCCATTTGTTTGTGGCTCGCGGTATGGCTTGGGTTTATTTGGGGCTCAACACGCGGCCTGCAGGTGGGATCCTTTGAATATGGCCTCCACTGGGAACACGATCTGCAATGGTGAATCAATATAATGGTCTTTTGTTGATGTGCATTTTAGTAGTTAAATTCCTGGACCGTCGTTGCTCATTAAAAGTGCCGTCACATGGGTAGAAATCGGGAAAATATTGCATTTTATTAATATCAGCAGAACTGACTTAAATGGGGCCTGTGTGTTGTGTAGTCTTGCCTTAATCTTTGTATTCTTGCCCATCAGTGTGAAAGAAGCTATTTGCATATATATTGCGTGTATATATTTGCATGTGTAGTTCTTCAGGGAGGCAGCCGGTCAGGATTTACTGCCGAGGTGTCTTCACAGGTCTCTGGCTCCATTGATAATAACCAGAAGGCTGCTTGCCTGTGTGCTCAGTGGTGTGTGCCGTGTCGACTTGGGCGCTTAGTCTCCACAGCAGACCCCAAGAGAGCCCCCAAAGACCACAAACCAGCTAAGGATTGAAGGTGCCCAGCCAGGTTTATTGTAGAGCAAAGTACAGTCATAGTTGTCAGTAGACTCTACTGAACCACTGCGCACATGTACTTGCCACAACGGAATGACTCAATCAGTGGGAGGTCGCACTGCCCCCTTGGTCATTGAAAGGCTGTCCCCCCAAGACACCACCTTAGATATAGGTACCAGAAGTCACACCCCGTTGCTGACGTATCAGGTTGCCACCCTCTGACATTGACAGGTTACACTCTTATGTTGTCAGGTTACCACCCTCTGACATTAGTTAGCTTCCACCCATCACCCTGTACCTCGTGTTTTGATTAGATCATCTCTATCCATCATTCTGTTATTTTAGACCCAGTTCTGTGAGGTGGGGCCTGCCTCTTGCTCACTGCTTAGCTTTGCTTTATGGTAGCCATGTTTTGCCCATTGTTAACTAGGCCTCATGCTTCAAACCAGGCCTGTGCTGAACGGGTTTATGTTTTAGGTCCTCCTCTTACTACAGCATGTATATGCAACCACACTTAAGTTGCAGCCCTGAGAGTATCATTGTGGCACCCGGGGCTTCCAAAGTTGAGTAGCCCTGCTTTAAGGTATCTCAAATTGGGTGCACTCAGTGGCATAGCTGGGGCTATCATTCAAGTGTCCTGCCCGCGTCCAGTGTACTCTGTGAGAACTCCAGTGCCTCTGAATCTCACAGCTCTTCCCCGCCAGTTCGTGAAACTGACGTTTAGTTGTCACACGGGCTGTCTGCAGAAGTGTGCTGCCATTTTTCTTTCAAAGCACAAGAGCAAACACTCTTCTTTTCTGTGGCACACACCTCCTCTCCCACCTTGCTGCGATGATTGCATTATAGTAGCTCTTAGGCTTTATGCATGGCACACTGCAACATATAGGTCATGGTAATTGCACTGAGTAGCTAAGTATCATTTCCCTTTTTATATTTCAGATTTATTCAGGAGATTGAGCATGCCCTGGGTCTTGGCCCAACCAAACAGTGTCCGCTCCGGGAATTCCTCACCATGTACATCAAGAACATCTTCCTTAACCAAGTCCTAGCGGAGATCAACAAAGAGATAGAAGGCGTCACCAAGGCGTCCGACCCCCTGAAGATATTGGCCAATGCAGACACCATGAAGATGCTAGGAGTACAACGGCCTCTTCTGCAGGTAACCAAGCTGAGCGGTTGGCCAGTGTCTTCCTGTTGCCATGTGCCTAGGGCTGTAGGAACAGCAGAAGCAAGTGTGCAAGAGATGTTTTGCAAACTCCACTTGCTCTCAGATATGGACCCCCTTAATTTGATGGCTTTTATCTATTACTCTTTTGTACTCCCTAACTTTTGCATCAATGTGTGGAGGGAGGAGGCTGCCAAACGTGACACAATCTCATGGTCTACGTCTACACTGAAGGCTTGTTGCACAAGAAAGCGTCCATGGCAGTATGGCCATTTTAGCCATACAGGTTTCTTGCGCAAGAAATGCCTGTTGCCCATCCACACTGCCTTCTTGTGCAAGAGCTCTTACTCGAGGGCTTATTCCTCATGGGGAGAGGAATAACTCTTGTGCAAGAAGCCCTCTATTCTGACGCTTCACTGTAAATTTTCTTGCGCAAGAACATGCGTGCAGTGTAGACACTCTGCAAATATTTGAGCAAGAACGGCTGTTCTTAGAATCATAGAACTGGAAGAGACCTCAGGAGGTCATCAAGTCCAGCCTCCTGCCCAAGGCCCAAACCTTTCTCCTTACCCTTCACATCTCTTGCCAGCTGCAATTCCAATTGCGCTTTCGCCTTCCTGGTAACTCGCCTGCATTCTTGAGCAATATATTTATATTCCTCCCTAGTTATCTGTCCAAGTTTCCACTTCTTGTAAGCTTCCTTTTCGTGTTTAAGGTCACCACGGATGTACCCGGTAAGCCAATCTGGTCGCCTACCATATTTGCTTTTCTTGCTGCGCATCAGGATGGTTTCTTCCTATGCCTTTAAAGCTTCTTTAAAATACTGCCAGCTCTCCTGGACTCCTTTCCCCTTCATGTCAGCATCCCAGAGAATCCTGCCCATCAGTTCTCTGAGGGAGTCAAAGTCTGCTCTTCTGAAGTCCAGGGAGTGTATTTTGCTACTCTCCTTTCTTCCTTTGGTCAGGATCCTGAAATCTACCATCTTATGATCACTGCTTCCCAGGTTGTTACCCACCTCTACTTCCCCTACTAGTTCCTCCCTGTTTGTGAGCAGCAGGTCAAGCTGCGCATAGCCCCTGGTCAGTTCCTTGAGCACTTGTACCAAGAAGTTATCCCCAGCATTCTCCAAAAACTTCCTGGATTGTCTGTGTACTGGTGTATTGGTCTCCCAACAGATGTCAGTGTGATTAAAGTCCTCCATGATAACCATGACCTGTGATCTGGAAACTTCTCTCAGTTGTCCAAAGAAAGCTTCGTCTACCTCATCCATGTGATCCGGCGGTCTATAGCAGACACCAACCACAACATCACCCCTGTTGCTTCCACCTCTAAATTTAACCCATAGACTCTCAACAGTCTTTTCTCCCTCTAAGTAGGAAAAAGCCTGCAGTGTAGATGTAGCCTCATTGTTCTCAGCTCTGTCCTCTGCAAGGACTGTTCCTTGACACACCTGGCTCTGATTGGAATGACTTTCTTCCCTCCCCTTCATTCTGAAACCACCTTTCACTCCTGTCTCCCCCCTCCTACCCCCGTTGGGCATTTCTCCCACTGTCCCCAGCACCCACCCCGCAAGTTAAACCTATGTTTTGCATTTGCACAAGGGTAAATCACATAGTCAAACATGCAGTAAATGGCGTCTCTGCCATCTCACTCATTACTGTTCACTAGTCCAGTGCGAGGGCTTTCCTCTGCCTTAGTGTGACACATTCACAAGACGTCCACATGATATAATCATCCAGTAAACAGTATGTCCATCATGAAGTATTGTTACAACTTTCTTAAAACATTTGCTGAAAGAGTTATTTATTTTAAGTGCAGTATTATGTTGCGTCTGACATTTAAAAACGAAGGCTGCTTGCAAATCTTAGAACATTTCAAGCTGACTAAACAGTACTTTGTTATTAAGAAGTTTGTCTTAAAGGTTACAATATTTAAATGGGGCATGCTTCACTGGAATAGTTCTTTGAGTCTCATGAGGACTAGTAGAGATTGTAGTAAATTTATTTTTTCTCACTTGGGGGTAACGCAATAGTGTGGAGGCGCATTGCGAGATCTAGTATGGTGACTAGTGCATAGGATTGGGAAACCAGATCTGCCCCTGTCTCTGATACTGACTCTTCTTGCAGCCTTGTTCAAGTAACTTAACCTCTCTGCCTCACTTATCCCCATCTATAAAATAGACATATTATGTATCCACGTGACCAGTGGTGCTGGAGCTATAGGTGTGGGGATGCTGCCACACCACCTAGCTTGAAATCGTTTTCACTTTCCATGGCTCGCCGCACCCTCATTATACAAATTGTTCTAGCCCCACCCCTGCAAGTGACGGGGTATTTTGAGGATTAGTTAACATTTGAAATGTACTTTCAAGATCAAAAGTACTGCCCAAGTGTCTCCATAATATGTTTAAAAGTCTCAGGGGGCAGCCGTGTTAATTTGTAACTTAAAAACAACTAGTAGTCCCGTGGCACCTAAGGCTACGTCTACATAGTTGAGCTATTCCACGTCTTAAGATCTAACCCGTTATATCAAAATATAACAGGCTCGCTATTCCAACGTCCCTGTAAACATCATTGTATGAAGGTTAAGGGACGTTTCGGAACAGTGCCTTATTTCGCAACATGGCACCAAAATTAGAAATAAGTTGTTTTGAAATTACCTCAAAATAAGCTGCATTCGCAACATGGCACCAAAATTAGAAATAAGTTGTTTCGAAATTACCTCAAAATAAGCTGCAAGCTTTCATAGGCAAAACTCACTTCTTCAGAAGAGATGATCTCATCTGAGGAAGTGGGTTTTGCTCACTAAAGCTCATGATACTCTATCTATCTATCCCCATGCACCGATTACCTCAAAATAAGCTGCAAGTTTTCATAGGCAAAACTCACTTCTTCAGAAGAGATGATCTCATCTGAGGAAGTGGGTTTTGCTCACTAAAGCTCATGATACTCTATCTGTCTATCCCCACGCACCGTATCTATCTATCTATCTATATTGTTAGTCTTCAAGGTGCCACGGGACTACTCGTTCCATAAGATGTGTCACGGTTATGTATTTGCAGTTTATATTTTGGTTTAGAAAAGATTAATTGTGAAAACAGTTTCTGGCAACCTGTATTTCATGGTTCATTGTTCATACTAATGGTCTTCAAGACAAACATCACCAGCACAGGTGAAAATAAGATGATGCACACTGGTGTGGCACTCCAGAAAGAAGCCGGCTGGCTGAGGCGCTCAACGGGGGGGCCACTCCTAGCCTGGCTCCCAGGGCTTTCTGCAGGCTCCATGCTCCAGGCATGTTAAAGGGGCTGACTGGGGGATGTGCCCCTCCCCATCTGAGAATTCCCCCAACCCATAGTGCCCCCTCCATGTGCCATTTTAGGAGGGGAGGCTGCAACCACACATACCCAGTTGCTGTTACTCTTCTCCTTCCCTGGACTATCAGGGAGCAAGGGGAGCACAGCCTTTAATTATCCTCTAAGGGGTACGTCTACACAGCAGTGTTAGTCAAATTAAGCTACGCAACTTCAGCTATGTTGAAGTAGCTTAAGTCGAAGTAGCTTAATTCAGCTTTTGGTGCTGTCTACACAGCAGGAAGTCAAAGGAAAAACACTGTTGTTCTGAAATAACACTGCTGTGTACACCTAGGGCTCGTCTACATTGGCCCCTTTTCCGGAAGGGGCATGGTAATTTTTGAAATCGCAATAGGGAAATGCGCGGGGGATATTTAAATCCTACTTTGAAGTAGGAATAAGATCCTCCGGAAAAGGGCTTTTTTTCCGGAGGATCGGGGCCAGTGTAGACGCTCTTTTCCAATGTAGACGTGCTTTTTCCGGAAATACTTATAACGGAAAACTGTTCCGATTTAAGCATTTCCGGAAAAGGGGGCCAATGTAGACGTAGCCCTACCCTAACATGGCACCCCCTGAGACTTTTAAATATATTATGGAGACACTTTAAAAAGATGGAGAAGAACTAAGAAGTTGCAATATAAGGCAGAATGATTTTACTTCAAGGCTAGATGGCGTGAAACAGAATCACCTGTCAAGTCCATTTGAGTTGTGTAGGAGAATATGCAGGTTATTTGGGTGAGGATTCCTTGAGCCTCTTCCTCTTTTTCTCATTTACATCAATAACTTGCTTGTAAGAATTAGACAGGATAAGAATCCCAAATCAGTCTGCTCAAGCAAATGACCTTATCAGCAGCCCCCACTCTGTGGTCATATCAGAGTGTAGGCTTTGGATGAGGGCCATTGAAGCTATTAACCTTACAATTTGTTTTGGATTCTTAGCGAGATGATATATAGAACTGTTTATGATATATGCCTGCCTCTTCTCAGTCATGTGAAATTGTTAAAATGATACCAATAAATTTGCTTAAGGTCCGTTGGAGGTCAAATAGGCGGACTGGATTGTGATTTCTCATTTAATCCCTATAATTCGTTTCCCGTGAGGGATGTAAATCATTTTGAATCGGAATTATTCTTGGTCAAGATGTTCCTATGACTCTCTAGTTTGACCATTCTGGACATAATTCTGTGGAAGGCAAGATATATCTGTGCCTTTTTGAACTAAGCAGCCCAAACAAATGAATACAACAATCTGATTTTCTGTTGATTTTTTTTAAAAATTAATCTGTTGTCACCAAACTGACAACTCTGAAGACAGAAATTCTCCCTTTAGCCACAGAACAGGTTCAGCCCAGCTGGGCAGCTACAGTTCAAACTTTGCTTGTCTCATCCCAGGCCAAAATATTCCACCTGTGTGGCCAGTGAAATGTCCAGTAAGCACATGCAGTCAATCTGTACCTTTAGTGAGCAGGCCAAAGGGTATAGGTATACAGTAACCAGACCCAGGACCCTGCGAGGTGGGAGCATCCCAGACCTCATGCTCTGGCTTATGCCAAGAGGTCTGCACAGGAGTGATACAGCCCTGTAGCTCAAGTCCCACAAGCCCTAAGTGGCTGATGGGGACATCTAGTTGCTGTGAAGATGT